GGCTTCCGGTGATTTGGACGAGGAGGTGGACAACTCCAAGAAGTCGAGGCGAGCTGCGGAGGCAAAGGCCAAGGAAGCTCGGGTTAAGACGAGCAAGCAGAAAACGGAGAATTTCTACACGCATGCCAATGTCAAGAACAAGAATAGAAAGAAGGCAAGTGGATTGGAAGACGCGTCGACTTCTGCAGGACCCAAGAAGAAGGAAAGAGGAAGCAGAGTAGGCGCGAATGGCAGAATGGCCAGGACCACCAAGGCGAAGATCGCTCGAAAGAAGAAGTAGTCCAATGGTCACATCTTTTCTGCTGTGCTTGCGTCTGCAGATTCTCTCTCTTCGGCAACACCATCAATGCAATCCACAGTTCGCAATCGGCAATCACCGAGACCCGTCTCAAGCACGTCACTTTTCTGTCAGATTTTACTGCTGCGCAACGTCGTCAACTGAACAACCAATGGCATGCATTTCGAGGCGGTGCAAGTCGTCCATCTACTCTGGTCTCGGCGCGCAATCTGATAGCTATTGCAAGTGCCAGGTTGCTGACTTGTTGGGTATATTTGCGGGTCATTGTAAACACGACAGGATCGCTGACGAAGTGAGGTGCACGATATGAAAGGTGACGCTAGGCGCTACGGTCGTGAGGGGAGACAGGACGGAGTCAACTTCTTCGCGCACGAGACCTTCCTTGGCAGCAGCGAGAAGATCCAGTCAATTGACGGCTTTGGATGGCGTCTTCGCTCCTAAAATACTGGCGTAAAAGCGAGCAGCAAAGCTGACACCGTGCTGTCCTCGCCGGCCAGTGCTGCGTCTTCATCCTGCGCTAGATGGTGTCGAGACTCGAGAGGATCCTGTGCGCCAAGGAGGGCACGCATAAGCTGTTTCAGGCACTGCGAGCACGGAGATAGGATGAGCATATTGCTTCAGAAGACGTCTAATCAAAGAGCTGGGCTGCACTCACCTCCGCGTCGTCTGGTCTGGCTCGGACAGCGTTAGCGGCAAAGCGGACAGCCTCTTTGATGCTCAGATCGTATGTCGGGCCGTGGCCCTTCTGGACGATCTTGCTCCATAAGCAAAGTGACTCTGCTGCCCACCTCAGGTTGAAGTCGTCCGGTCGCCCCTCGTGAGCGAGCGTGCGAGGTCCAGCCCAAGGCATTGCCAGCTTCGGCGCGTAGTGCAAATCCGCTGTTCGTACCCAACCATCCCCGCGAGCTCTTCGGTTGCTCTCCCTAGGCGACATACACTCGCATCCCAGTATGTACTGCAAGATCTGGCTGGCTGTTGCCACCGACACTCCGCTTTTAGCGAGAAGAGACTCTGCATCGGTTGTATTGATTGGTTCTGTGGATCCTGAGGAGATATCCGCCTGCACCGTTGGAAGCTCGTCATCGAAACGGAAACCTTCGCTCCAATGTGCTCGACTGCTTGTTTGTTCCCGCACCCAGAAGCTTGGCCACAGAGGGCTGAGCTCACAAGGCGCTTCACGTGTGCCTGATCCCTCTTCGAAAGCGGTCGTCATCGCTGAAGTATTGTCTGGGCCAGGTTCAGCAGGCGTGGCGTGATCGCTCTGATAACCGACGAGTTGTGATCGCGGACTAGCGCGGCCCGTAGGGTCGGAAGACGAAGACATGACGACGAGAAGCCAATCAGGCCTGCACAAAGTCTGAACAAGAACCCCAGTGAAGGCGTTGTGGGTGAAGATGAAGGTGAAGGTGAGGGTGAGGGTCAGAGTC